AGATACAAGAGACTGAAGGGGCAGCTTCTGTCCAGAGGTGAGATGGGAAGGCAGAGAGGGTTAGGAGCTGGTTGAATGGACATGGGGGATCGGGTGGAAAGGAGAAGTGTGCTGTCACGGTATGGGGAGAGAAATTAGAGTCATATAACAATGTATGTATAAATTTTTGTATGGGGAAGAAAAAGAAAAACTATGTTAGTATTAGAAGAAAGTAGGGAATAAATGACAAAGTAAAGGCCACTGTCTAGCTGTGTGACCTTGGCAGAATCACTTTATCTCCCTCACCCTCAGGCCCTCATCTAAAAGGAGACTCGTAGGCCCTGCCTCACAGGGGATGACGTGAGTGAGTGATGGAAAGCACTTCAGAGTGCCTGGCGCATTGCAGGCAGGGTATAAGAGCACCCAGTCCCCAAAACTTGAGCAACAATTGCTTTTATGTCAGTTTCATTAATTTTAGCAATCTGATGGGTAAAAAACTGCTGTTTATTTTGCATTTTTCTAATTACTAGTAAGGTTGAACATCTGTGTCTTCTGTGAACTTCCTGTCCGTGTCTTTTTATTGATTCTTTGAAGTTTATATATTATGGATGTTGGTTGTTTGTTATATATATATGTGTGTGTGTGTGTGCGCGTGTGTGCGTGTGTGCGCGTGTGTGTGCGCGTGTGCGTGCGTGTGTCTGCGCGTATTTTTTTCCTCCTTTCAGGCTGTCACTTCTCTTACCTTTGCTCATGGAAATTGACAGCCACTGTAGAAGGCAGTTTTACAACATCTATTAAAATTTAAATGAGCGGAACCAATAATTTGATTTCTCTGTAGCTACCCTAGGGGAATACTCATGCATGCATAAAAAAATGCATTTACAAAGATGCACGTTGCCGCATGGGGTATTGTAAAAAATTGGAGATAACCTTACTGCTCCCCGATAGGGGAATCATTGAGTCGCGTCTCACACGTCGTTTGGAGGGGTGTGCGACAGAGGAACCAGGTAGAGCTGGGGGGGGGGCCGATGTGGAGAGGGCCAGGTTGTTTACAGTGTGAGGCCTGTCTTAGTCACCTATTGCTGCTATCACAGAAATACCACGAGTGGGTGGCTTTAACAAACCAATTTATTTTCTCACAGTTTAGGAGGCTAGAAGTGTGAATTCCGAGCGCTGTCTCTAGGGGAAGGCTTTCTCTCTCCGTTGGCTCTGGAGGAAGGTCTTTGTTCTTTATCTTCTGCCTCCTGGTTCCTTGGAGATCTCCGTGTGTCTTGGCATCTCTCTTACCATCTTTGCTTCTTAGCTTGCATTTAATCTCTTTTATTTCTAGAAGAGATTGACTCAAGATACACCCTCCACTAATCCTGTCTCAATATAACAAAGACAACCCATTCTCCAATGGGATTATAACCACAGGCATAGAGGTTAGGATTTACAACACACATTTTTGGGGCACACAGTTCAGTCCATAACAGTGCCTCTTAAAGTATGTCTACACAAACACAAGTATGTAAATACACAAAATATAGAGGAAAAAAAGTCTGGAGGATATTTGTCAAACTGGTACCCAGGCTTTCTTCTGGATCACGGTGATGAGAGTGGTTAGTCACAGGGTCTTGTGCTTTCCCTATGATGTTTGGAGTTTTTAGAAGGAGGAGTTTTTTTTTAGTAAGTCAGAGTTGATACCAAGTAGTTTCATGTAGGAGAAACTAGTTCTCTGCTGAGAATTTCAGATGAAGCTCGTTGATGCAAAATGCCTTTTCCTCAGCTGCTGAAGGAGAGGAATTTAGAGTCGGGATGGACAGTGGCATCCAGAGCTGAAGTCTTTGTTTTTCTTGTCTGTTTGCTGTCACTCTAGTCTGGATAACTCTGTCCCTTCTCACAACCAAAGGCAACAGCACCCTGAAGCATAATCACTGAGTTTTTTTGTTTTGTTTTTTTAAGGCCACAGGTTTCCCCAAGTTCCCTCAAAGCTCGGAAGTACTGCTCAAGGAGTCAGACCTGCGGGTGGCCCTTAGCAGCCCCTGGAGCCTCCGGCTTCGTGATCTTAGTTCCCCCTCCCTCGTTTGGATCATTTCGGCTCATGTTGCTCTGATTCTGGAGTCTTAATATACAGGGTATCTGATGTCCTTTCAAAGGTCAAGACAGAGTTCAAGGCACAACTGGGTGTTGGTTGCTGGAGACAGACTGAATTTCAGGTTAGGTACTCGGACCTGGAGCAGATCCCCCGCTCTTTCCCTGTGGAAGGCCACACTCCACGCCGGGGAGAGTGTCTGCTAGGGGACCTGGGTGGGGGCATGGGAGATTTCTCAAAGGAGCCGGTAACAGGCTAGACTTGGCTTCTCCTGGCGGTGTAGCTTGCCTCTCAGAGTGCTTGGGAGGAGAGACGAGAACTGCAAAGGAGGAGTGGGAGACACCTGGGAAGGAAATCACCAAGCCGTGGAGAAGGGCCTGGAAGCCCGTGAATCGAGAAACCACATGAGGCCTGAGCTCCTCATGCAGATGCTATGAAGCCGCCTGAGGCAGGAGGCAGCCTCACTGGCCTGTCCCCTGAGATCCTTCCTTGGATTCTGACTCCTTTGGCTAGGCCAGTCGGGCTAGGTCTGTCAGGTTTCTCAGGCCACCAGGCCTAAAATGACGTGGCAGCTCAGGCCTGAGCTTTTTCATGAGTAGGGAGCCCTGGTTCAAATCCATTAGCCGCTGCTTGGAAACTCTATGGGACAGTTCTGCTCTGTCCTATAGGGTCACTATGAGTCGGAATCAACTCGATGGCAAGGGGTTTGGTTTAGGGTCTAAGCTTAGGAGAGCGGGAAATATTTTTCCCTGAATCTGAGCTAGTATAGTGGCCCAGGCACCTGAGGACATGTTTTTTTGGTTGAATTACTCCTTAGGAGATGTCGGGGTGTGGTAGAGGTTCAGGACAGTGGGTGTCTGAGGATGCAGCTGACCCAGCTCAGAACAGCTCCTTCCCTGCTCTTGGCGGACTGCGTTCCCACACCGGTATTTTGGTTCCTGTTACAGAGGCACAGAGTCATCTGGCCCAGGGGCCAGCTCCCATCCTCCCCTGGCCCTGCCCCTGGAAGGCAGCTCTCCTATAAAAGGCTGAGCCGCTCAGCTACTCTCACAGGGACTGTGGAGAGCAGGGGGGAACCATGGACTTCATTAGTATTGAGGAGCTGGTAAGGATGTGGGGCAGAGGGCGGGAGGCTGGGGAAACAGCCTCGACACAGTGATGAGGTCTGAGGATCAGCCACGAGCAAACATCCAGTTCCTGTCTGTCTGCCCAAGTCTCGTGTGAGGTGGTGAGGGGGTGGTTAGGGGTGAGAGATCAGCATCAAATGGGAAAGAAGTTGGGTGACAGTAGTTAAGAAAAGCCTTGAGTTTAGCAAGTTCTGTCCTTGACTGTGAGGTTGAAAGAGAAACCAGGAAGAGCAGGTTACCTTGGAAGTCACTGGCGTAGCTGAGGGGTTCGTTCATTTAGCTTAGCCTCTATGGAGTCATTGCTCTGGAAATGGTCCCGAGGGTCTGGCTGTCTTGGCAGGGGATAGGGAAGAAGGGTGTTCTTGTGAGTGTGCTTTGGGATGTCTGTGTTTTGGGGAGGTGGGTGGGACATGGAGGGTAGTGAGGTCCAGGGTGTCACATCACCCAGCAGGGCCAGTGGCACCAGCTGGCTCCAGCCTGATGAAGCCTTGGCCGACAGGCGGGATTACAAGGCCGAGAAGCGTTAGGCAGCCAGCGCTTGCTTTAGAAGGGACGATATTATAGCTGGCTGGAAGCTGTGGGCTCTGTTGTCCTAGCATTCCAACCTTTTCTGTCCCCCCATCCTGCTTATTCGTCGTCGGTCTCCCTAGCTCCTGAGATCCTGGGGGTGGGAACTGAGGAAAGAAAAGAATGAGTGTTTGCTGTGGTAGGCTCTTAAGTCCCAGTAACCCATTTGATCTTTACAGCTCCAGGAGGTAAGTGCTATTTTTACCCCCATTCTATGGGCCGAGAAACATAGCTTCACAAATAGCCAAGATGTGAACCCAGGAATTCAGCTTTTCACCCCAGGGGTGTCTCCTCTGTCCCTGTGAGCTTGGTGTCCGGGGGCAGTATGACGTGACCTGGTGGGAATCTAAGGACAGCAACCCACGAGGGAACTGGGGTATAAATAGACATGGTGTCACAGCCGCCAGCCCTGCATTCCTGCTGAGCCTCAGGGGACACTGCGGTTGGTGGGGGGAGGTCCCCGAGGGAGCGAGCAGCAGGTGTGCATATCAGGGAGCTCGCCAGCACGCTGGGCTCCACGCAGCTTTGAGAAGGGTGAGTCCCGCTCTCAAACCCAGAGCACTGACCTCTGATGTCAGCTCTCGGCCCGGTCTTCCTGGCACTGGGTTCTAAGGGCTTCTCCCTTCTCATTGTTCTCATCATTCCGACAGGGAAGTGGTGAAAGAGCTGAAAGGGAAGTGTTGGGATTTGGACACGGAGCTCCTGATTCTGGAGGCTAGCCTGGTGCCTGGAGGCTGGGATCCCAGGAGGCCCAGGAGAGGCAGAAATGGGAGGAAGAAAGTGAGAGAGATGCTGGGGGTCGGGGGGCTAGTCCCTGTGTGGGCTGGCTCAGAGCAGTGAGGACCCTGGAGAGCCTGAGCTCCTGTGGGCAGGGAGATAAGGATTCGACTGAGAACCTGCCCCCAAGGCTGCCATAACCAGTGGCTGATGGCTGTCATGGTCTCGAGTCAAGCAGGTCCCATCCCAACCCTAACTTTTTCTGCCCCTCTCCGTGTTCCAGCTTGAAAGATTTAACAGCTCCAGACTCAATCTGGAGAACCTGACCGACTTGGAAAACTTGGTTCAAAGACGAAGGAAAGGGACTTGGAAAACTTGGTTCAAAGACGAAGAAGGAAAGGACCGTATCGCAGCGTCCCCGCCAGGGAACCGGAGCCCCTGGTTAGGGTGAGAGCTGGGGTGGCGGGGGAGCATGGGGACTGAGAAGCGAGGAAGAGCTGTGCTTCCCTGTGGGGCAACTGGGGTCGGCGGGGGGAGCATGGGGTGTGGTACAGGCACACTGCAGACTCCAACACTGCTCCCAAACCTCGCTCCCCTAGGCCCCGAGGGGCTTAGAAAGTGCATTCCAGAGACCTCTACTCAGTCAGCACCTCCTGGGGGTGGGATTAAGAAAAAACATCGGTATCTTAACAAGCCAGCAGTGAACCCTGGGGCTAGAGCGGTGAATCTGATGTCACAGCTGGGGGAGTGATTTGTTCTTGTCCTTCAACTTATCTAGCCGCAGCCCCAGCCGGAGCCGTGGGCCTGGAGATATCCCTGAAGGCGGCTGCTGACAACCAGGGGGCCTTGACTGACAAGTACCTGGTAGATGGCGGCCCCCAGTGCCCACAACAAGGTGAGGCGCGAGCATGTGGGGTGAGCCGGGGAGCGCAGCCCTCAGCGCCAGGCTCCTGTGCGGCAGGACGGACCGAGCTGGGCGGGAAAGGCCTGGAACCCGATCCCTCTGCCTGATGGCCCGTTTCTCCACCCCCAGCTTCACCACGTGGCCTTGCACTGGGCCTGCCTGAAGGGTCACAGCCAGCTTGTGAGCAGGCTGCTGGAGGCAGGTGCCAGCGTGGACGCTCAGGACTTGGTGAGAACTCGGGAAGGCCCGTTTTCACAGCTGACCCGCCGCTTAGCACCCCAGCAACTCTGAGTGCTCTGGTGCTCTCGTTCTGCAGCTGGACAGGACACCTGTGTTCTGGGCCTGCCGTGGAGGACATCTGGACATTCTCCAGCAGCTGCTTAACCACAGGGCCTGAGTCAACGCTCGGGACAAGGTGAGGGGCACCCTGCTTTGGGGTGGTCTGTCAGGAGAGGCAGGGGAGCATTCCACCCGGGAGCTGATGCTGTTTATGGAGAAGAGAAAGCCCAGCCTTTTGGGGTTGGGATGAGGCCTCACACTGACCTTCACTCACCTGTCCCAGATTTGGAGCACCCCTCTACACGTGGCCGTCCGGACGGGGCACAGTGACTGCCTGGAGCACCTCATTGCACGTGGTGCCCTCTCTGACGCCCAGGATAAGGTAGGCACTCGGTCTTCCAGGACAGGGCAGCTGCAGCAGGGGACTGTGACGGAGGAGGTTGAGCCAGAGCCAGTTTTGCTCTGTGACAGCACCTCCTGACCTGACCCCTCCCTCTGTGGTCCTCAAAGTGATGGCTGACAGGTAAGGGCGGGATGAAGTGGGCTGGAGACTGGCTTCCCAGTACTGGAGGGGCTTTGTCTACAGGAAGGGGACACAGCCCTTCACGAGGCTGTGCGGCGCGGCCACTACAAAGCCATGAAGATCCTGCTGCTCTGTGGAGCCAAGCTGGGCGTGCAGAACACGATGAGCACCTGCGGGGCAGAGGAACACCTGTGGGGCAAGGGAATGCCCGCGGGGCAGAGGAGCACCAGGGTGGGGGGTGGGGGGCAGAGGAGAGCCCACGGGGCAGAGGCCCTGGCACTCCGCAGCAGGGGGTCAGGCGGCGCTCCTACGAGCTAAGGGCTGACCCAGCACCCTTATTCCCAGGCATCAGTCACCCCATTGCAGCTGGCACGAGACTGGCAGCGGGGCATCCAGGAGGCGCTGCAGGCACACGTGGGCCATCCTCGTACACAGTGCTGAGTTCAGCAGACCTGCGGGGTCACCCGCAGCCACCATTCCATCCCCCTCAACTTCCACCCCTATGCCACTCATGCATCTGCACACTTGTGGTTCTTGCCCATCCAACCTGGTCCCCCTCAGGCCTACGAGGCCGCCCTGTCAGACATGATGGGCAGCCCCAGTCCAGCAGGTTGCTAGAGGTCTACCTGCTGCACGTGTAAGGGGTGATTTGTTCCCTGCAAGGGCTGGAGCTAGGAATGGGTGAAGTCGAGGACCACCGGTGACCAGAAGACAGTGGGTCCTGACGAGGAACAGTGGAATAGAGTACAAGCCAAAGATGGAGCAGAAGACAGAGTCCTCAGCCTGGAGTTACTCAGTGCTGGGTGTTAAGACCTCCTCAGTGTGGGTTACTCCTCAGTCTGGGAGATTCGTTAGGCCTCCACCCTCCCCGAGGGCCTGTCTCCTGCCACAGAGAACACACAGGAGGCAGACGACGGCCTGGGCGTTCCCACGGCTGGCCCGTGCCCTTAGGCAAAGGGCTTTTCCAGAAAACTCCATCGCTATCAGCAGCAACCATGATAGCAGTGGAGCAGCTCTAGACAGCTCTGGTCTGAGGACTCTGGGGTTGGGTTCTGGCAGTCTGGAAGGGGTTGTTCCACAGGTTTGAGGCCCCACAGCCACGGAAGTCCAGTTCCAACCTGGTTGCTCAGATGCCCTAAGACCAGTGATCTGGAGTATTTGTTAGAGAAACATCTTGCTAAACTGGAGCCCACTAACCTAAAGGCCGGGTCCGGCCTGCCTCACTGGCTGGTGACTGTCCTTGTGTGGGTGAAGAGCCTGTGTGCTGGGGGTTGCTCGTGGCCCACTCAATTCTTGGGGCGGTGGCCCATAATCCTAGTTAGGCTGAGGCTCTGTCCCCAATACAAGAGTGCTAGCTTTTGCCTGGACCCTGCGGCTGCATCCCCCTCTGCTTTACCCCCCCTCAGAGGCCAGGACACTGAGGAACTCTGAACTTGGCCCCGCAAGGTGGAGTGGGGGGCAGGGAGCACACCCCCTCCTCTCCCTTGTCTGGCCCCTGGTAGGATCTAGTGCCCACTTCAGGCCCCCGAGGGTGCCTTCCCCTCACTGCTGCTGTTTCCAGTTCCACTGCGTAGACCTGTGCTGCTGATGTCAGCACCGCTGGCCGGGCTGGGCCCTTCAGTGCCGGAAACCGAACCTTAAAGAGCTGCATCCCACACCAAGGACCACAGGCCGAGGGAAGAGCTGAAAGATGAAGGCTTGGCCTCCCTCTCGCGGTCCTGGGTTCTGCAGCGCCCACGTTCGTTCATTTTGCAGCCGTTTTTAGCCCACTGGTGGCCTTCCAGGGCCAGAAACAAGGCTGTTCTCGCCGTGTGAAAACGAGCGCTTCACGTCAGGGGCCACAACCCTCCCACACTGACACCTTCTACCCGCAGACGGGCCAGCGTTCTCTCACACTGACACCTTCTACCCGCAGTGACGGGCCAGCGTTCACCCGGGACACTGGTGCCGTGGGAGAAACGGGCGTTCAAGACCACGGAGACAGCCCCCATCTAGAAAATGGGGACATAGAAGTGACAAAAGAAACCTTTCTGTACATATCAGCACTTTCTGCTCATTAAAACTGGTCAACTATCCGTCACAGCCTAGCTGTCTGTCGTGGGCTGGGAGGAACCAGGATGTGGGGCGCCGGGGCGAGCCAGCAGGGCTTCGTCTCCCTCGGCAGTAGCGCCCGAGCCTGTAAACCACGCCAGCCTGACAGCAGGACAGGCTGTAAGTCAGCTGGCGATGCTGTGGGGGCCCGACTTGGTCTCTCACATCTGTTAGCAGCTCTGTTCACTCGTGGGCAAGTTCAGAAAGCAGTGGTCCTCAGCCTCAGCTGCCTGTTAGAATTACCCAGGAATTCTAATTACCAGAAAGTTTCAAAAATCCTGATGTCCAGACTGATTAAATCGGAACCCCTGATGGACGGGCCCAGGTACCAGTTATCATCACGAAAGTGACACACGTGTCTCTGCAGAAAATCCTAACAAATCTACAAAACAAATTTCCAAAAACCTAGAATAAATGAGTTTGGCCAAGGTTCAAGATACAGGATAAACAAAAAAATCTACTGTATTTCTATATAGTAGCAATGAACAGCTGAACACCGGAATTAAAAATACCATTTACAACTGCTCCAGAAACGGGAATACTCAGGAGTAAATCTAACAAAATACGTAAGGACCTGCGTGCTGAAAACTACAGAATACTGATGAATCAAAGGTCTGGGTAAATGCACAGATATCCCGTGTTCTCAATAAGATGTCAGTTCTCCCCAGACTGATTAACACAGGTTGAACAAAGTTCCTATCAATAGCCTAGCAAGATTTTTTTGTAGATATAGACAAGATTCATCTAAAATTTATATGAAAAGGCAAAGGAACTAGGATAAAGCGGGAGGCATCAGTTTACCTTATTTCAAGACTTCTCACACAGCGCCAGTAATACAGACCGGTACTGCAGGGGGACAGGCACCCCGATCAGTGACACAGAACAGAAGCTGCAAACAGGCCCACGCGAACACGCCCAACTGACTGACAACGGCGCAGATGCAGCTCAGTGGAGGAAGGACAGCCTTTTCAACAAATGGTGCTGGAGAAGTGGACACGCACGGATAAACAAATGAACTGAAGTCTCACACCCAATACAAAAATTAACTCAAAATGGATCATGGACTTAAATATAAAACTATAAATCTTTTAGGAAAAAACATTGAAGAAAATCTTTGGGATCCTGGACTAGGCCAAGAGTTGTTAGAGAAGACACCAAAATAACACAATGCATAAAAGGAAAAATTTGATAAATTGGGCCTTGTCAAAATTAAAAACTTTTGCTCTGCAAAAGACTCTCAAGAGAAAAGACAAGCTACAGACTGGGAGAAAATATGTGCAAACCGGAAGTCTGACAGAAGATTACTATCTAGAATATACAAAGAACTCTTGGGACTCAACAATTCAAAAAAAAAACAAAACCAATTCAATTAAAAATGGGAAAAAGCCTTGAGCAGACATTTCACCAGAGGACAGACAGCTGGCAGACAAGCCCATGAAAAGATACTGCCATCAGCCATCATGAAAATGCAAATTAAGCCACAATGATACGGACCCCATCTCACCCCGAGAACAAAAATTAGCTCAAAATGGATCAATGACCTAAATATGAGAGCTAAAACTGTAACAATATTAGAAGAAAACACAGGGGTAAATCCTCAGGACCTTATACTTGATGATGGAGTCTTAGAAAACGAAAACAAGCAACAAAAGAAAATAAACTGAATTTCATCAAAATTTAAAAACTTTTGTGCCATCAAAGGACAGTATTAAGAAGGTGAAAAGACAACCTACAGGAGAAGATATTTCAAAATCATACATCCAATAAGGGCAAAACATCCAGAATATACGAAGAACTCCTATAATTCAACAACAAAGACAACTCAATAGAAACATGGGTAAAGGACTTGAACAGACATTTCTCCGAAGAAATACAAATGACCGTCAGCACACGAAAAGATGCTCAACGTCATTAGTTTCAAAAAACCACCATGAGATACTGAAAGCAGGGACTCAGATACTTACACCCCTGTGCTCTCTGTAGCAGAATTCACAATAGCCAGAAGATGGAAACAATCCAAGTGTTCATCAGCAGATGAATGGATAAACAAAATGCCTCCATGTACAATGCAATATTACTCCACATAAAAAAGAATGAAGTTCTAATACATCCTACAATATGGATGACCCTTGAAAACAACCGAAGTAAAATAAGCTGGACACAAAGGGGCACTTTATGATCCCATCCTACTCGTCAGTTTGACAAATATCCATTTACATGAAATACCTAGAACAGACACATGGATGGAGACGGAAAGCACGTTAGTGGTCACCACGGGCCGGGGGAGGGGAGAGCGGAGACTTAGTGCTGTAAGGCACAGGGTCTGTTTGAGGTGATGAAAAGGTTTTGGAGACGAATTGTGGTGATGTTGTGCAACACTGTGAATGTGAAAACGGTTGAAATGGCAAATTTTGCCTATTTTAACACAAAAAGTACAAAGCGGTCACTGCTTGCTAAACGAGAAAAAAACAAAACAACGATGTATCTCACTACACACCTATCAACACGGCTAAAGTAACAGTGACGCCACCAAACTAGGGAAAGGACGTGGAGAAGAGGGTCCGTCATCCTTGCTGGTGGGATATAGAATGGTGCTGCCGCTCTGGAAAAGTTTGGCAGTTTCTTTAAAATGATCTAAACATGCAACTGCCACGTGACCGAGTGTTTGCCCTCCTGGGCATCTATCCCAGAAAAATGAAAGCAACCTTCACACAGAAACCTGTACACGAACGTTCACAGTGGCTTTATTCCAACAGCCTAAAACCACCCCGATGTCCTCCAGCAGGTGAATGGTTACACGAACTATGGCACATCCACACCAGGGAACGCCACTCAGCAAAAAGGAACCAGCGATCGACACACAACCCGGATGACTCTACAGAATGACAGACGGTATGATTTGCCGACACCCTTGAGATGACAAGGTCGTAGCTGGGAAACAGGTCAGTCGCTAGGGGTTAGGGCTGGTGGGGGAGAAGTGGGCATGCTGATCTAGAGGCAGCCTCAAGATGCTGGAGGTGATCTCACTGCTAAGCCACGAGTGGATCAGCGTTACCACAGACCCGGGGGGAGGGCAGAACGGAGAGTTCCTGCGGCAGCGACACAGATGTGCCCAGGTGACGGTGATAAACCGCCGTAGGACCACATACCCAACGTGACAGCGTCACATGCCTGGCTCTCTAGTGTGCTGTAATTACGTAAGATGCACCCACTGAGGGAAACTGAGAGGGACGTGGGGCCTCTCTGTAACTTCCTGGGAATCTGTAATTATTTCAAAATAAAAAGTTTAAGAAGGAAAAAAAATAGCTTTAAATGCAACCTGGTATCCTGGATTGGATCCTGCAACAGAAGACGACTTGTTACTGGGAAAACCGGTAAATCCAAATGAAGTCTGTAGTTTAATTGACAGTATTGTAACAATGTTAATTTTTTAAGTCTTGATAAATTTACCGCGGTTATGGAAGATGTTAACATTAGGGAAAGCTGAGTGAAGGGTATATATGGGAACTCTTCTGTAAATCTAAATTACAAAAAAAAATTCTGTTGTCCAGATGGATGAAGTCAGAGTTCCCAGAGGCGGGACCCAGGTCTGAGGATTTTAATTGGCCGAAAGATTCCAAGAGACGAGCAGAGAACACAGTAGCTGGAAGGGTAAGGCTGAAGCCCGTTCCCACCTGGGCTTGCTCTTGAACACTCTTCCTTAACCACAGGTAGGAGCAGGCACCACCGCGGCTCGTCCTGGGCCTTTGGTCCATTCCTAAGGACCCAAAGTCCTTCGAGAGAGGTTCCAGAAATCCTCTTTCCCGCCTCCCCAACCTATGACCATATGACCCTGTGATGCTCCAGTTTACCCAGCTGAAGATCTGCGAAAGGTAAAAACAGGTAAACCAGGAGAAAAAGCCAAATGCCTTCTTGTTCCCACTTCTCTAAAATCCCATCGCTAGGAACAGGGGGAAAAAAAAAAAAAAAGCAAAGAACCTGAATGTTTCAGAGTTGTAAGAAAACTCGATTGCTTTTTTTGAGAAAGGTGATGGGGGATCTGCCTGGTTCATAAACACCATTGCCCTCCCTTGCTGCTCTCTGGTGTCTCAGCCACCCAGCACCCCCTCCACACATCTCAGCCACCTAGCACCTCCACACGCGGAGGCCGGCCTCTGAGGAAGGTGTCAGACAGAGACAGCAGACAGCCGTGGTGACCATCACCCGGGACCAGACAACAAAGGAAGGATCAGATGCGATGTAAGGTCCCTTACTCCTGTGTGTGACCTCTCCTTGAAACATGGCAACTGACAACACCGTCAGCGATGACTAAGTGAGGTGGCAGAGGAGCGGCAGAGAAGTAGGCCCATAGCCCGGGGCGCCAGGCAGGCCCCTGGGTTCCCAGGGTGAGGAGCCTGCCTCCAGGGTGGGTCAGAAAGGTAATCCCCACAGGATGGAGCCAGGGATGGGGGGCAAACGTGGGGTCCTGCTTCCAGGTTTGGCACATGGGTAGGCCGGGGAGTGGGCCCTGAAACATGGCGTTGTGGACAAGGCCGTGGATGTGAACCCCCAGCCCAAACTGGTGCTCTCGGTTTGCTCAGAAAGTGCTGCCCGCAGCAGGTCAGCAGATTAAAAGCAAAGCGAGCACAGGTCACGACCACGTAAAGGCAGCAGTCACGCACTTGCATCCTGGCTTGGCCCCGGGAGATATAAACACACCACACTGTCACAGCCTCGGGGAGGGGGCGAAGACTGGGCCTGGGGCTGGAGATTAATTCCTTCCAGAAGTGGCCTGAGGGCTGTGCCCGGGTGGTCCCATCTCCTTACAGGAGAGCAGGGCCTGCTGAAGGCTCCTGGGATGGAAGCTTGATTCTGAGGACAGCCCAGGACCATGTATGAGGGCCATCTAAAACGTGGCCTGGAGGGACGGGGACAGATGGCAGGAGCTATGCCTTCGCTCCCGCTAGCTCCCCACTTGCTCATCCATTCCCCAGATCTGGGGCTGCTTGGCAAGAAGTTAAACTCCTGGGGAAGAGTTCCGTCCAGGGCTTTCCTCTGCCGGGTGGCCTGGTCTGCCGTGGTGGGACCCTAGAGGAGAAGGGGAGAGAACATTTAACATCAAAGCTGGTGAAGACAGCATGTCTTACTAAGACAAACGGGGCAGGTGTGCAGAAGAGCTGGAGACAGATGAGACAGCAAGGCAGAGCTGGGGTCAGCTGTCACAGAAGCAGAGGGAGCTGGGGCTGTGGATTTCAGCGCTGGGGAGGAGGGCCTGCCTGGACAATAAGGCGCCCCTCACTGGAAGAAGTTTTATTTCCCGAGGCTGAGCAAGTATTTCACGGTCCCCTAATCTTTCAGAAAAATGAAAACAGCAGTGAGCGACAGGAAGCTCCGCACCCCTCATGGAGAAATGCCTCCCGGGTCGGGAGGCTGTTTGCAGTCCTCCTCCCAGCATCTAAGGGGCTGCGGAAGCAAATCAAAGGGAAAGGGAAGCTATCTGCCTGGGGCGTTCTCTGAAACCAGAAATGCTCAGTAGTCCACAGTCATTTAGCAACTACAGTTTCCATATATGCCAAGGTGGGAAAGGTCTACTGGGAAGGCTGAGAGAGAGGGAGAGACAGGGAGGGGGGGAGAGAGACAGGGAGAGATGGGGAGAGGGAGAGAGAGAGAGACAGGGAAACATGGAGGGAGAGACAGGGGGAGACAGGGAGAGAAGGAAAGGGGGAGAGAGGGAGAGAAAGACGGGGAGAGAGGAGAGAAGGGGAGAGAGAGAGAAGGGGAGAAAGAGAGGTAGACGGAGGGAGAGAGAGAGAGATGGGGGGGAGAGAGAGAGACAGAGACAGAGGGAGAGACAGAGATATGAGGAGAAAGAGATGGAGAGGGGAAGAGAGAGGGAGATGGGGAAAGAGGGAGATGGGGAGAGAGACAGAGAGAGAGAGAGATGAGGAGAAAGAGAGGAAGAGAGAGAGAGATGGAGAGAGAGAAAGAGAGAGAGAGAGACGGGGAGAGAGAGAGAGAGAGAGAGGAGCCAAGCTGAGGGGCTGAACGGCACTCTCAGCTCTGGGCCGCACCACGGAGATGAACAGGCTCACGGGGCAGGCCCTCTGCTCCCTGCCACCCAGGACAGAGGGAAACCCGGGGACAGAGCCGTCTGGGGCCCAGCTTTCCCCTGGAAGTACACAGTGATGTGGAAGGTGTTCAGAATGTGAAAGGGCTTTCAACAAGGTTCCACGCTGTAGGTGGGAATCGGCACACTTTTTATGTAAAGGGCCGATATTTTTAGGCTTTGCAGGCCACGGGTCTGTCACAACTCCTCAGCTCCACACACAACACGTGAACAGAGGCGTGTGCTCCAGTAAAACTTTATATACAAAGACGGGCAACTGGCCAGATTTGGTCCGTGGGCCATAGTCTGCTGACCCTGCTGTAGGTAACAAGAAATCCTTGTCTTCCAGGCATTTTACAGACAGACAATTGGACCAGAAACAGGAGCCAGCAGGGGGAATGAAGGCGCTGCTCTGGCGGGGGATCCTGTGCAAAGGCCCAGGACTGGCTTGGACCTGCGTGTGTGAGCGGTGCACCCAGGGACCCAGGGAAACCTCCAAGTGTAGGGCTACAGCAGCCCTTCTGGACAATGGAATGCCAAGCCCGCAGGGATGACCCCACAGAGCCGAGGCAAGGAGCAGAGAGCCAGCAGTGAGGCTCACTGGGGACAAATGTCAGGGCAACACGTACGGGAAGTGACCACCGTGGTGTTTACAGGAGAGCAGATAACCTGCTACAGAGGAAGAGACCCGCGGAGCCGCTGCAGAGTCTTCTCTAGCAGGACCGCCCTCGGAGCCCTGGTGGTGCAGTGGTTAAGAGCTCGGCTGCTAACCAAAAGGTCGGCAGTTCAAACCCACCAGCCACTCCTTGGAAACCTTATTGGGCGGTTCTACTCTGCCCTACAGGGTCGCTCTGAGTTGGAATCAGCTCGCTGTTAACAGGATTGGTTTCTTCAGTTTTAGGACTGCCCTATGAGTGGATGAAGCAAACACGGATCACAGCCATCCCTGGGTACGTGACGAAAAGTGGGGCGAGGAGCGCGTGTCCTTCCTAAATTAGGTCTGTACCCTGAACACGGCACGTCAGCTGGAAGAGCAGGTGAAGCTGGAAAGGCTCGCTGTGTATGGAGAGCCAAAGGCAAAGGTCCAGGCTCACGTGAACCACGAGCCTTTGGCTCTTAGACTCAGGTCTAATGTGCCGGTGTGGACGTCCGCCCTCCACCTCAGGATACGTGTTCAAGAGGGGCCCCGTGAAATAAGGTAACATTGCAGAGCGCAGACACCGCTGAATGAACCCTAGAAGGGGCCACTGCCCCCAAGTGCACACTCAACTGGGAAGGGCTGCAATCCATGCCCGGATTCAGGGCGAAGAGCACAATGCGCCCAGAGCTGAGCACACAGCTAGCACCCGCGTGGCCCAGGGCGGGCTCTCTGTCCCTCTACCTGCACGCCACAGCACAATTTGGGAAGTATTTCTTTATAAAAGTAGCTTTACGTTCTCAAGCTTGGTCTACACAACCAGAGCCGTTCGCGCTCAAGCACCGCAGCCCAGCAGTCAAAGGCACACATGGCTTCCAGGTCACAATGCCAGGGTTCCAACGTGGCGTGGCACATCCCGGCTGTGACCTGTCTCTGCCTTGGATTCCTCATCAGTACAACAGGGACAACCACCACCACCTCTCAGAACCATGGGGACGGGGACTGTGTCAGCACACGTGAAGCTCCCAGCACAGTGCCTGGCAGAGCTGAGTAAGAGCTCGTCCCTCTCCCTGGGCAGTGCGCGGTGTTGAGTCACGCCAGGCTCAGCCCTTTCCAGTCTCCCCAGGAGCCCACGGCTCTCTCAGGAGGCTCTGGGGACCTCTGACCCACGACTCGGAGCTCAATCAAAATTAAAAAAGGCAGATTACAAGAACAAGACAGTTTCCCGACTTCTTAGCACTTCTTTCCAAGGCCTGCATTTCACAGAGAGCTCCCTTGTGTTTTTCCCTTCTTACACTGCAGGGGTGAGGTTTACCATCTCACCCCCCATTCCCATCTCACACTGCAGGCTGTTTCTTCCAACATCCTCCTGCTCACAACGAAACCCGGGCTGTCCCACGCTTTAAATATTCACATGACCTGACCAAACCACTCAGCAGGTGCCTCCCTAGTTTCTGGAACGGTTTCCACCAAGCCACCACCTCCTGAGCCAGGCCTAGCTGTGACCAAATCCTAATCCTGAATGTCAGTACAGTGTCTGAACCTGATCTCATTCTCATTCAGCAGTTAATCCTTAACTAAGTCCATCCTAACAGGCGCCTGACAGAGAGCGTTGACTTAATACGCTCTGCATGTGACTGTGGCGCACACCTTGGCGTCACCATGAGCAGTTCAACAGCAGCAAGGAAAGGAGGAGAAAAGGATGTGGAGCAAAAGGGAGAACATGCAGGGCAGGGTAAGGGCAGAGAGCGAGTGTGTGTGCGAGCAGGAAGGACGTGTCCCCCAGGGTTACCTGCCACTGCAGCTGTCCTGTCGCTGAGCAGCCTGGTCTGGCTGCCCGGGACGACCTGGAGGTCCACGCCCTCGGGGGACGGCGGCGTGTTCTGGGCTCGGGTAGCCAGGAGTGCATTGAGGTACTGCAGCCGTGTCACCTGGAGGACAGAGAGCATCACCTGGGCAGGTGCAGTGTGTGGAGCGAGGGAGAAGGTCACACCGTTCCCTCCTGCTCACAACTGAACTAGACTGGAGAGCCACAGCGTGGTAGGAGGAGAAAACAGAAAGGGCTTTAAACAGTTCGGAACAGAGACGAGCAAGCGTACCCGCCGGTTTTAAGACGTCCGACAAACCGGGCGGACAGGCCTGGAGCCGGGGCAGGTCACGGGGTCACGGGGGCCTCGGGAACCACGGCCACCCTCCCCACGCTCAGGGTTTACTCCGCACCCACACAAGCACGTGACCAGCCGGTCTAGCCCCTCGGGGACACAAAGCTGGGGAAAAGCCAGCATCCACGAGCTGCCCAGGCGGTCACCTTGATGAACTGCAGGTCAGAGAGGGCCCTCACGGTGTAGTCCGGGCAGTACGTGGAAGAGCGGGTGCCGTCTGCTGCCTCGGGCTGCAGGTCACGGCGGGCAGGCTGGAGTGAGGACACTGGGGACTGATGAACTATCGAGAGGAACAGTCAGTGATGGTGGGAGCCAGTGCTGGAGCCGGGCAGCCTCCACGCTGAGCCTCTAAGATCCACCCCACAAACCACTGGAGTGCGATATGGCTAAGAACACTGAGGAGGACGGTGGGCACAGCTCCTCCAGGGCACAGCTGTGCAGGGCTGGGCGTGAGCACGGGGTGAACCCCGAGCAAACGCTGCCCCACCCCCAGCCAGGAGACCATGCGTAGCACAGGGCTGCTGGCCACAGAGCATCTGGTGGGAAAGGAGTGGGCTCCGGGGGAAGGGAAGGCTAGACTCTTGAGCGTGGAGATCCACAGCAACAACTGCAGTGGGGTGTGGGGGGCTCTCAAGTTGACAAAGCCCAGCCCCGTGCCCCTGACCCACCGACAGCTCCAGGGGGCGCTGCTCACCAGAGGACGGCGCTGCCAGGGCGGACACTCCATAGTAGGTGAAGGCCCCGTTCTCAAACTTCAGGCCCTCTTTCCCGATCTCCACCTCAACCCTGCCCTGGGAGGAAGGGAAGAAGGGAGAGGGGGCAGGAGAGACGGAGAAGGGGAGAAATGGAGGGAGGGAGAGACGGAGGGAGGGAGAGACAGAGGGAGGGAGGGAGCGAGAGGGAAACAGGTGCGGCTAGGTTATCTTTCCCGTCGGAGAACGCAAGGAGAAACCATCAACCCCAAGTACTGAGGGGGACGAGGGGCTGGATGTCCCTGTTCCCCACCTCTTCTCACGACCCTTCCCGTTTTACAGGGAAACGGGAGAGTCCAGCCTCCATCCCAGTTACCTGTAGGATGAGAATGAAGTAGTCGACTGGCCGGCTGCGCTGGTACAGGTAATGCTCTGCGGCCAGACGGTTGCTCACGTCAAACCTCACTTCCTGGTTGACACTGGGGTGCTTCAGCAGATGCAGCAGGACCTTCTCGGAGATTCGCAGGGGGCTGAACACATCCACCTCTGCCCCACGGTGGGAAAAAGGAACAGTGTCCACAAAGAGCATGACGGCTTGTGTAACCACGCCCGCCTCCCGCTGCCCAGCCGTGCGCGCCCCGCTGGGGCCGTGAGCTGAGGTGACACACCTCCACGGCACCAGGCAGGGCACCCAGACCCGCCCGGCTGAAGACTCGCTGGCCTTTGCTGGTCAGACATCACGGCAGCCCGGCCGGCCCTCAGCCCTCAGGTGGACTCAGGCGTTCTCCTGGGCCGCTCTGCTCAGCAGGAATGGGAGGCAGGTCCTGTGACCCACCTGACGGCGAGCAGACAGCAGGGGGCAAAGACCACCTTTCACCCTCACCTCGGGAAAGGAAGCGCTGGGTGGCCAAGAGCAGCTGAGGCGAGATTTTCACTTTAGAGTCGTCATCAGACACCTTGAAGAGGGAGAATTCCTCTTTCCGCTTGAGGGGGGCACTCAGAGACGCAGGCTTCCTCCTCACCTTGGTGTCTCCTGAGACGGTAAGAAAAAGGTGTGCCCAGGTGCCAGCTACCTGTCCAGTCAGCACGAGGAAACCAAGGGACCACGTAGCCTGGCGCCTTCCTCCGGGGTGCTCAGGGGGGCAGGGAGGAGACAGCATCGGTGTCCCGGGGGACAACCTTGGCACTGCTCCCCGATGGTGCCTGGCTGCCAACCCCAGCACGCAGCAATCCCGGCACCCCAGACGGAGGGAGCAGCAGCCTACATTCCAGACACATCCTGAGGAAGGACTGCTCCTTGTCTTGGGAGTGGCTGAAAATGATGCTAATAACAGCAAAGCAGTTTATCTAAAATGTCCTCAGCAGCTAAGAGACCTTCTGGAAAGCCTGCATCTGAGAATTCACAGAGCTGAACAGCAGCAGCCAACCCGGCGACCTTGTGCCTGGGGCAGGCCGAGGGCCTGGCTGAAGATGCCATGTTTTGGGGAAAGATGCTGGGGTCAAAGTAACACGCTCAAAGGCATGGAGGGGTGAGCGGTAGGGTCCCCAGTGCTGACCGAGGACCAGCCGACAAGCACAGGTTCTGCGTCTGCCCTGCAGACCTCCGCCTTCATCTGAGACAGAAGCCCCGGGTCATCTGCTTTGGGGAGACCCCTTTGTAGTGAAGGAGACACGCCCATAACGTACAAGAGAAGACAGAGAAAGGGCTCCCCTCAGTGACTGAGGAGGCAAATACCACAGCTGCTGAGAGAGCCCCAAGCAAGAAGTGGGGTGAACAAGCAACCGATGGGACAGGTGACCGCGGCTCTGCACCGAGATGCAAGCAGGGGCCTTCTGGAGAGGGGGAGTACTGGGCCTGGTGGGGGAACGGTTTGGGCAGGTGATCTAGCAAGACATCCAGCCTGCTTTCCAGCAAACATGGCCCACGCCAAGAGAAACGGAGACCCCACCCCCATTCTCCATCCCGGTAAGCTTGAAAGATCAGCTGAGACAGAAAACCGCTGCCGATCAAAACTCACGGTAGTCTTCAGACTCGTCCAGGATCTCGGATTTGATGATCTCCTCGATGACGTCCTCCAGGGTGACCAGGCCCAGGACCTCGTAGAAGGGGTCGCCCTCACCCTCGTTGTTCACCTTCTGCACGATGGCCAGGTGGGACTTCCCTGTGGTGAGAGGACACTCGTGTGAATGGCTGTGGTCACAGCGGTGTCTGCACTGACCTGGGCCGGACACGTAGGAACAGAGGAAGCAGGCAGGCATGCAGCAGACGCATCCCGGAGGGAAACCACAGGCTCCACCTTCTACCTGGACTCTCTCCAGCTCCCCAAAGGGCAGAAGCTAATGCCTGTGTTCCTTCAATGTGATGAAGAAGAAAAATGACTCCAGAACCCACTCACTGGGTTTTCTGGTAATATCAGTGGCTACGATCCCATGTGGGTATGGGTTTTCTTTGTTACATTAATAAGGCAGTTTTAGTGTAGGGTGTACCTCAAGTCAGTCTCTTTTGAGATTTAAAAAGAGCAGACTGAGCAAGCAACAAGCAAGCGAGCACAGATGGGGACGACAGATGCCGCACCACTTGGCCGTCACGAGCCAAGGAACAGAAGCTGAAGAGGCAAGGAGCTTCCCCCAGAGCCCACAGAGAGGGAGAGCCTTCCCCCAGAGCCGGCGTCCTGGATGCAGGCTTCTAGCCCCCTGAACTGTGAGAAAATAAATTTCTGTTTGTGAAAGTCACTCATTTATGCTATTTCTGTTACAGCAGCACTAGATGACTAAGACACACACTTTGGGTTTAATTACAATACAAGAATTAAGGACAGAAACAGACTCTTGGTCAGGGTCTCTCCAGCATGCTCTGCCTCACTCTTCCAACCCCATGCCTTTCCTGAGGTAGTCAGGCATTGTGCCCAGTCAGCCCTGTGCCAGAGACGCAGAGAACGAAAATGTGGATTAGTCAACAACGCCGATTACTATTATTATTTGACCGCTAACCCAATGACCAGGAAAAGAGGCTGTAAAAAAACAGAGATGACATTTACTGCATTTCAACAAATCTAAGATGCCATCACGGAGCCCTGGTGGTGCAGTGGTTAAAGCGCTTGACTGCTAACTGGAAGGTTGGTGGTTCAAACCCACCAGCCGCTTTGTGGGAGAAAGATGTGGCAGTCTGCTTCCGTAAGATTACAGCCTTGAAAACCCTATGGGGCAGTTCTACTCAATCCTATACAGTCGCTATGAGTCAGAATTGACTTGACAGCAATGGGTAAGATGCCATCAATTGTAGGACGCAGCCTGACATCAGAGGTGTTAAATGTCAAGAAATGCGCATCTCCAAAGTGATGGAATGCAGTATATACTGCTCCCTGTGTGCCGGGCCGAGTCTTTATTCATTTATTAACTCAGTGACTCGTGACCACAACTCCATGAGGCACCTAACCAAAAAACCAAACCCAAACCCATTGCCGTCGAGTCGATTCTGACTCATAGCGACCCTACAGGACAGAGGAGAACTGCCCCATAGTTTCCAAGGAGCACCTGGTGGATCTGAACTGCTAATCTTTTGGTTAACAGCCGCAGCTCTTAACCACTACAACACCAGGGTTTCCGAGGCACCTAACAGTTCTTCCTATTTCACAGCTGAGGCCCAGAGAGGTTACATAACCTGCCCGAGTGCAAAATGAACACAGGCAGTTGGCTCCTGAGTCCATTCTCTCAACTGCCATGCTCAACTGACTCTCTGAGAAGAACAATGAACCGAGTCTTAGAAGATCCTTCCCCTCTGGGGACCTCTCTGAAGCACAGGACTCCGTCTAAGGAAAATAAAGCAACTGTTCTTCAGGATGCTTGAGATCCCCGGACAAGGTGGAAATGGCCACTGTATGCTGTCCTTCCCATTCTGCAGGAGGAAGAGGCCTGGGTCCCTGGAGAGCTGTGCGCCCAGTCCTGCTGAGCCTGAGCCCCAGATGAGGAGCACAGCACCCCCAAGCTTTCCACCCCCATTTCTGTTGGTTTGGCTCATGCTGGCGGCCAGGCGTCATCTCCACAAGGGCCACAGTGGCCCTGCCACGTGACACAAACCTCTCAGGCCAGGTCAGGAGGGCTGAGGGCTCCAACCACAGTCGTGGTCAACAGCCTCTTTGGACTCGTGAGGCCAAGCCCATTCTAAATGGCCATCTCAGGGCAGAGAGCACCCACCTCAGCCCCTTTCTTTCAGGAAGCCAGTCCCTTTGGCATGTTACCTACACGAATGAACAGACTTCTCTCCCTCAATTTAACTTTTATAAAACAGGTAGAAGTTTATCGGTGACCTAGCACGCCGGGATAATGCCATAACGAATGGAAGAAGCAGAGCTCTCAGAGACCTCCTAACCCAGCTGCTGTTGTATGTCGCTGAGTCGATTCTGAGTCAGACAGAGCAGAACTGCCCCGTAGGGTTTCCCAGGCTGTAATCCTCACGGAGAAGCCCTGGTGGCGCAGTGGTTAAGAGCTCAGTTGCTAACCAAAAGGTCAGCAGTTCAAATCCACCAGCCGCTCCTCGGAAACCCTATGGGACAGTTCTACTCTGTCCTATAGGGTCACTACGAGTCGGAATAGACTTGACAGCAATGGGTTTAATCCTCATGGAAGCAGACCGCCAGGTCTTTTCTCCCTCGGAGCTGCTGGTAGGTTTGAACCACCGACCTGTTGGTTAGCAGCCGAGCACTTAACCACTGTGCCACGAGGGCTCCTTCCTAAACCAGCAGTCTCAAGACACGGTGTCTGAGCGGCCAGAAAGCAGTCCCGAGAAAGCAGGCGGAGAAACAGAAAAGGCAGCTGGAGGAACTGAACGCGACTCCTCATCTGACAGAGTAAGATGCTCTGGAACACGCAGGTCCCCAACTACACCCAACACTGAAGGAGACCGTGGAGCCACAGGCGAGATGCGGAGGCACAGCTTGACAACATCAGCCCGAGAGCTTCGGAAAGCTCTAGAGTGCCTGGTCGGCACGCCCGAGGGTGCTCACGAATTCTTTGGATGCTGGCAGACCCTCCATAAGGCCTAATTTCTAAGACATCTTCATAATGCAGTTGGAATTTAATTTCCTTCTCCTTCCCTCGTTTTTTAGTGCAAACGTCTGAACAATGTCCTGTGAGAAAAGCAACGTGCGAACACTCCGCCGCTGTCCGAGTAGGTCTCTCTCAGCGTGCTGGCAGTTCTCTGGCTTCTTCCGGACAGTGAAGCACATCTGGGCTGGTTAAAAGCAAAGGCTCCGAAAAGGCCACCCACTCTAATCTCACCTCTGAGTGAATGTCCCTGAATATTGCCATCAGGGGTTGACAAAGAAAGCAAGGGCTAACGGCTTTAAAGAAAAACCAAAACACCAAAGCCGTCAGGTCGATTCCCACTCCTAACGACCCTACAGGACAGAGTAGAACTGCCCACAGGGTTTCCAAGACTGTAAAACTTTATGGAAGCAGACTGCCACATCTTTCTCCCAAAGCGGCTGCTGGGTTCAAACTGCCCGATCTTCTGATTAGCAGCCAAGTGCTTTAACCACCGCGCCTCCAGGGCTTTCTAAGGTATCTTCCAAAAAATCAAACCCCTTGCAATTGAGTTGATTCTGACTCATAGCAACCCTATAGGACAGAGTAGAACTGCCCCATAGAATTTCCAAGGAGTGGCTGATGGATTTGAACTGCTGACCTTTTGGTTAGCAGCTGAGCTCTTAAACCACTGCGCCACCAGGGCTGCTTAAAGAAAATACATGCTATTTCCGACAGATGCAAAGTACTCCCTCTTCCTGGCGATACATGCATACAATAATCAGCGTTTCATCTGAAGTCCACACACCGACTGAGGGGTACCTCATGGGGTGCCCCAGACGACGAAGTCCCAGAACAGACGGTGCTCCGAAGGAGCAAAAGGAAGAAGGACAGCTGCCAGGGACAGCAGCCCCAGGACCGGCCGCAGGCCACCACCGCCTCCCACGCTTGGCAGAGCGACGCCAAGGGGACCGATTTTTAACACCTCACACATCACAAGAGCAACAACGTGCTCTTTGTCCATAAGCGGAGGAATGAAGGAGGAGGATAAGAAGAACTTTAACAAGTAAAAGCAAAGACATCGGCCACAGGCTACACTGAACAAAAGAAGCGGAGAAAGTTCCAGGGGGACACAGAAAGGCACAGGTCACTTTCCCCAGCCCTCATTCACCACAGGAGGAAGTGGAAGGGGGCTCAGGAGCTCCCCACCAATCTCTAGGCTCCTTCACCTCACCCACTGGCTTCCTGCAGGAGGCTTTCAGCACAGTGTTAGCAGGCAGCAGCAGGGCACTCGGCCCCAAATCGTCTGGCATCAGGCTGCAGGAAGCCTGCGTGGTTGAGTGCGTTCTCCAGAGCCGCTCCTGGGCCACCCAGCAGGGTACGGGATCTAGTGTGGCCTTCCCTCTCCACTGGCCCCTTCACATCAACATTTAAACCTGCTCAACTCGACCACCTCACAACCAAACACACAGCACCCCCTTCCTGATCACGTCCTCTCAGTCACTGCTCTCCAAGCCAATCCCCCAAAACGAAGGCAGTCTGGTGACCTGCCTGGAAGAACGGTCTCTGCACTTGCAGGTCCATCTCCTTGCTCAGCGGTTAACCGAAACCCACCGCGTCGAGTCGATTCTGACCCTACGGAACACAGGAGAACCGCCCCGTAGAGTTTCCAAGGCCGTAATCTTTAAGGAAGCAGATTGCCACATCTTTCTCCCGCGGAGTGGCTGGTGGGGTTGAACCGCCAACCTTTCAGTGAGCAGCTGAGCGCTTAACCACTGCACCACCAGAGCCCGTGTTCATGAGTTAGCAAACACCAAATACCAGTGCTCGTGCTAAATCTCACCCAGGAATAAAAATCAGCACTAACAGGTGCTCAGTGCCTGTATCCCGGCATTGGGCTAAGGGGTTTACGTATCTCCTCCCACTGGATTCTTTGCCCAGCTCTTATCACTGACAAAGGAGCCCTGGTGGTGCACTGGTGAAGTGCTCGGCTGCTAACCAAAAGGATGGCAGTTTGAACCCACCAGCCGCTCCGTGGGAGAAAGATGTGACAATCTGCTTCTGTAAAGACTACAGCCTTAGAAATCCTATGGGGCAGTTCTGCTCCGTCCTACAGGGTCGCCATGAGTTGGAACGGACTCGACGACAGCAGGTGTGGCTCTGGTTCGGGCAGCATTAACAGGTGAGACCCTGAGCCCCAGAGGCTGAGCAGCCTTTCCAGGGTCTCGCGCTAGGAGACGGCAGGGGCAGGACGGAACCCACCCCACTCCGACTCCAGGTCCAGCTCTGGGGGCCACCGTGCTGCAAGAACCACCAGTGTCTGGAGGGACCACAGTGGCCCATACAGGGGACTGGCCACTGGGAGGCTCCATGTGGGCCCGTACCCTGGGCTCCACTATCCCACAGAGGGGCTGCATGGCCACTTTCTGGGGCAACAGCCAGGAGTAGCTGACGGATTCTCTTTAGCAGACCCGTCAGAGCAGCGCACCAGTCTCCACTGCACAGTGATAACAGTAACTACCGAGCCACCTGACACCCCGGTCTCGCGAGGGTGAAAGGCGGTGATGCACTCAGAACCCCCACCAATGCCGCCGACAGCAGCTTTCAATGCAGCAGCAACACGGTTACCGCAAAGCCTGCCCTCCCGACCTGGCTGTCCGGGTGCTCAGAGAACACCTTCCCTGCCAGCGTGGGGCAAGACTTCACAGCTGCCAGACACACCCCGGGCTCTGCTCACTTCTCCACCTGACGCTGGGTAGCCTTTGAGGTCAAGCTCAACCAGAGTCTTGGGGTGACCTACCACCACCCTGCAGGAGCTGAGGTGTGAGAAGCATGGCTGGTGGCCAAGGAGAGCGCCAAGCTCTGGGGAGCACCCCTAAGCCCGACGTTGGGGAGGACGGTAGAGGAGCCCACACTCTCACACTGGAGGGGCTCACAGCCTCAACCTTCAACCTGAAGAGTTGCTCAGATAAATCAGGGTGAGAAGAGGATGAGAACGTGGAATTAAAGGACAACTTGAGAGACTTAGAGAAAACCCGTTGCCGTCGAGTCAATTCTGACTCACAGCGACCCTACAGGACAGAGTAGAACTACCCCAGAGTTTCCAAGGAGCAGCTGGTGGATTTGAACTGCCGACCTTTTGGTTAGCAGCCGAGCTCTTAACCACTGCGCCACCAGGGCCCCTAGAATTAGACAAGGGGAGGTTAAAAAAAGGGAGGGAAGGTAGACGGGAGAGGGAAGATTAAATCGTCACCCGTTTAGCTGCTCTTGGTGAAACGAAAAGAAAAACTGTCCTCACACCTGTAGAGAAGTATCTACAGGTAATCCCTCTTCCGGAATCGAGGAGGCAGCGCCCTGTCAATGACCCGACAACGTTCTGGCAACACCACAGGTCAGACTAACTTGATATTACGTGAGTGCAGATAACAGCGTCCAGATATCTGGAAGCTATATTCTTTTAGTTTTTATCCAAGAGCTTGAACCTGCTACAAGTCCAAAGCTCACAGAAACTGCCTTGGAAAGGGAAAGAGCTGGAGACTCATGCCAAGCGGACATACCTCCCCCAAAGGTCGTTCATCACCTTCTTTAAAAGGGACCTCAGAGGTCTCACTGCCCTACCACAGGGGCAGGACCCCTTCCTGGAGGGTTTCATAAATCCCCACACCTTTTCCAGGGGAAGGCAATCGCGTCCCCTCCGCGATTCCCCAGCAGTTACCTCGCTTGAACTCCTCCAGGACGGCGTCCAGCTTGGTATCGTTGAACACGAAGTGGAGTGGGTGGTTGTAGAACCGGGTGATGGTGCTGAGCGGCGTGCAGTCCTCGGGGTCCACGAAGGCCAAGTCCTTGAGGTAGAGCATGTCCACGATGTTGGAGCGCTCCTCCTCGTACACGGGAATGCGCGTGTGACCGCTCTGCATAATGCTGGCCAGGACGCCGAAGTCCAGCACGGCGCTGGAGTCCAGCATGAAGCAGTCCTCGAGCGGTGTGAGCACGTCCTCCACCGTCCGGCAGCGCAGCACGCCCTTGCTGAGATCGCTGTAGGGGTCGCCGCCGCCGCGCGCCAGCTCCAAGACGCGCTCGCGCAGCCGCCCGGGCCGCGCCGCCAGCTCCAGCAGCTGGCCCACG